GAGGATCAGCAAAAAAAGAGAAGACCCACAATGAGATGGACTGACATAGTGGCTGCAATAATGTACTCAAATATGGCAATGATTGTGAGGATGGCACAGGACTAGGAAGTGTTTTGTTCTGTTGTACACAGGGTCACTATGAGTTGGAAGGAACTCTATGGCATCTAACAACAAATAACACCATTGAACATTAATTTCAAAGAATCCTAAAATAACTGTCTGCTCTGTGTGTGTGTCTGTGTGTGTGAAAGAGAGAGATGGGGATATGATAGTTTTTACCCCTTTGTTTGGAGGCTGCTTTTTGATTGGGGCAGCTCTATATTAAGGCCAGGGACTGAAGTAGGCAGGCCGGGGCTTGGAGGCTGTTTTTCACTTTGGGGCAGCTCTTTATTAAGGCTGGGACCTGACGTAGGTTGGCCCCGCTCTTGGAGGCTACTTTTTGCTTGGGTGTGGATCTGTATTAAGGTCGGGACCCAAGGCCTGGTACTGGGGCTGATTTTTGCTTGGGGTGAGGTCTTTATTGAGACCCGGCTTGAGGTAAGCAAGCCTGGGGCTTGGAGGATGCTTTTTGCTTTGGGGTGGCTCTATATTAAGGCCAGGGCCCGAGGTAGGAGGACCAGGACTCAGGAGCTGCTTTTTGCTTGTGAGTGGCTCTATTTTAAGGCCACTGCCCAAGACAGGGAGGTACAGAAGGGTTAGGAACAACTGAGGGAGATGAACTTGTCTGTCAGTTTGTAGTCTTGTGGTGGCTTGTGTGTTGCTGTGAGGCTAGAGGCTATATCACTGTAATGCAAAATGCCAGCAGGGTTACCCATGGTGGACAGGTTTCAGCGGAGTTTCCAGGCTAAGACAGACTCAGAAGAAGGAAGAGGCCATTCAATTCTCAAACAATTGGCCAATGAAAACCTTATGAATATCAGTGAAACACTGTCTGATATATTACAGGAAAACTTTATGAATAGCCCTGAAACAATGTTCGATATAGTGCCGGAAGATGAGCCCATCAGTTTGGAAGGCACTCAAAATTTGACTGCGGAAGAGCTGACTCCTCAGAGTAGAGACAACCTTAACAAGATAGATAGAGTAAAGCTTTTGGGAACTCCATTGGCTGATGTGGCATGACTCAAAATGAGTAGAAACAGATGCAAACATCCATTAATAATTGGAACAGGGATTGTATGAAGTATGAATCTAGGAAAATTGGCAGTTGTCAAAAATGAAATGGAATGCATAAAGATCGATATCCTAGGTATTAATGAGCTGAAATGGACTGGTTTTGGCCATTTCAATCAGACAACCATATGATCTACTAAGCCAGGAATGACAAATTGAAGAGGAATGGTGTGGCATTCTTCATCACAAAGAGTGTTTAAGATCTGTCCTGAAGTACAATGTACAAAGTACAAAGTACAGTGATAGGATGATATCTTCCTACAAGGAAAACCAGTTAATACTACTATTACTAAAACTTATGCACCAACTACCAAAGCCAAAGATGAGGAAAATGAAGATTTCTACCAACTTCTGCAGTCTGAAATTGACCGAACATGAAACCAAGATATATTGATTATCACTGGTGACTAGAATGCAAAATTTAGAAACAAAGAAGAGTTACCAGCAGTTGGAAAATATGGTCTCAGTGATAGGAATAACACTGGAGATCTCATGATTGAAATTTGCAAGACCAATAACTTATTCACTGCAAATACCTTTATCAACAACATAAGCGACAACTATATACATGGACTTCACCAGATGGAAAATGCAGGAATAATATCGACTACATCTGTGGCAAGAGACCATGGAAAAGTTTACTATCTTTGGCCAAAACAAGGCCATAAGCTGATTGTGGAACAGACCATCAACTGCTCATATGCATGTTCAAGTTGAAGTTGAAGACAATTAAAACAATCCACGAGAGCCAAAATATGACCTTGAGAAAATCCCTCCTGAATTTAGACACCATTTAAAGAATAGATTTGATGCATTGGACACCAATGACTAAAAACCAGAGGAATTGTGGGATGACATCAAGAACATCATCCATGGAGAAAGCAAGAGGTCATTAAAAAGACAAGAAAGGAAGAAAAGACCAAAATGGATGTCAGAAGAGATCTGAAACTTTCCCTTGAGTGGAGAGTAGCTAAAACAAATGGAAGAAATGACAAGATTAAAGAGCTAAACAGATTTCAAAGAGCAGCTTGAGCAGACAAAGTCAATTACTATAATGAAAGGTGCAAAGACCTGGAGTTAGAAAAACAAAAAGGAAGAATACCCTTGATATTTGTCAAGCTGAAAGAACTGAGGAAATCATTTCAGCCTCGAGTTGCAATATTGAAAGATTCTATGGCAAAATATTAAATGATGCAGGAAGCATCAAAAGAAGATGGAAGCAATACATAGAGTCACTGTACCAAAAAGAATTGGTCAATATGCATCCATTTCAGGATCAAGAACCAATGGTTTTGAAGGAAGAAGTTGAAGGTGCACTGAAGGAATTGGCGAAAAACAAGGCTTCAGGTATTGATGGAATACCCATTGAGATATTTCAACAAATGGATGCCATGCTGGAGGCTCTCATTTGGTTATGCCAAGAGATTTGGAAGACATCCATATTTGTACCCATTCCAAAGAAAGATGATCCCACAGAATGTGGAAATTATCAAACAATATCATTAATATCACATAGAAGAAAAATCTTACTGAAGATAATTTAAAAACTGTTGTGGCACTATATTGACAGAGAGCTTCCAGAAATGCAAGCTGGATTAAGAAGAGGATATGGAATGAAGGATATCGTTGCTGATGTCAGATGGGTCTCAGCTGAAAGCAAAGAATACCAGAAAGACGTTTACTTATGTTTTATTTACTATGCAAAAGCATTCGATTGTATAGATCATAAGAAATTATGGATAACATTGGGAAGAATGGGAATTCCAGAACTCTTGATTGTACTCATGAGTAACCTGTACATAGATCAGGAGGTTATTGTTCGACCTGAACAAGGGGATACTTCTTGGTTCAAAATCAAGAAAGGAGTGCGTCAAGACTGTATTCTTTCACCATACTTATTCAACTTGTATGCTGAGCAAATAATCCTAGAAGCTGGACTGTATGGAGAAGAATGTGGCATCAGGATTGGAGGAAGACTCATTAACAACCTGCAATATGCAGATGACACAACTTAGCTTGCTGAAAGTGAGGATGACTTGAAGCACTTACTGATGAAGATTAAAGACTACAGTCTGTAGTATGAATTATACCTCAATATGAAGAAAACAGAAATCCTCACAACTTGTCCAATAAACAACTTCACAGTGAATGGAGAAAAGATTGAAGTTGTCAAGGATTTCATATTCCTTGGTTCTACAATCAACACCAACGGAAGCACCAGTCAAGACGACGTACTGCATTGGACAAATCTACAAGGAAGAAGTGGGAAGAGAGCTGTTACTTGTGGGGAGTTGTAGTCAATGTCATAAGAAAAAATATGTATGAACTGCTGTATGGAAAATGAATTTGCTCTGTAAACTTTCACCCAAATCACAATAATAAAAAAAAAAGACCCAGCTTGTGAGTCTAATTAATTATAGTTTTAAAAAGACAGTGGTAAACATGTTTTGCTTTATAAAAACTTAAGAACACACTACTTATAGTATAGTATTCAGATACATATTCAGACTTATTATGACTTATTAAACTACCCTGGTTCAAACCCTTAGTCCAGAATTTGCTAGATTATATTCTTGCACAGTTTACTTATCTGTGCTTCTCTGTCCATAAAACAGGGTTTTAATAATTTCTTCCTCACAGGGATTTTGAAGAGTTGGTGATTTAATTTAAATAAAGAGTTTAAAACTGTTATCTCAGCCCTGTCTGCATTGCTTGTCTCTAAATTCCTATAGCACTAAGTTTACAAAATTTATGACTAGTAAAATCATTATTTGCTTCAGATGTAATTTCTGTAATTGATATGAAATTTTATTTATTAACTTATTACTTTTTACAGACTTTTAAATAAATACTTAAAAAAAGCAAACCAAACCTACTGCTGTTGAGTTGATCCTGACTCATAGCGACCCCCATTGTGTTTCCAAGGTGGTAAATCTTTATGGAAGTAGATTGCCCAGTCTTGCTTCTGCAGAGTGGCTGGTGGGTTTGGACCACTAACTTTCTGGTTAGCAGTCAGATGCCATAGGCACTGTGCTATCAGTGTCCTAAATAAGTCCTTGGGTAGTGCAAATGATTTGTGCTCAACTGCTAATTAAAAGGTTAGCAGTTTGAACCCATCCAGCATTACCATAGAAAATAGGCCTGGTTGTTTGCTTCCATTAAGATTACAGCCAAGACAACCCTATAGAGCAGTTCTACTAAGTAGTACATGGTGTTGCCATGAGTCAGAATTGATTCGCCTGCCACCAACAACTACAACGTACTTTTACATTGTCTTTAAAGCTATAGCTTGAAATCTTGGAAAGTAAGAAGCACAGCTTTTGATTTTCGTATTCCCTGTAAATCTACCATAGATGCTTACTAATTTGGTAGACTTCTTAATAGAGGAAATTTCCTTTACCCTTGGATTATAATAACTAAGTTAACATGCAAGTTCTACTTTATCACTAAATTGCTCTAAATATGAATCTTGAAAACTGAGTAATTTAAATGTAATTCTAAACCTCATGGTACAGCAATACAATTATTCTTGCACTTTGCAGGAGCAATAAAAGCCATCAAATTTGCAACAATGATTTAAAATTTCAGTCAAGTTTCAAATTATTGTAATGTGTGTGTGTGTGTGTGTGTGTGAACTTGACAAAGACAAACCATCAATCACACATTTGGTGGTCTTTTACAATCATAATTCAATACCATGTATGACAACTAAACTGTTGTGTTGAGAATATCCTAAAAGTTATCCTCACTGATGGAAGGTGTGTTCAGCATTAAGATGTTTTTATTATATCAAGTTTATTTTTTTACTATTTTTTTGTTTGTTTCAGGGCTTTGAAGACTGCTTGGTGTTTGATGAGTTAATGGATAAATTCAATAATGACTTCAGTAAGTAACACTTCTCAGTTTGAGGTAGACTGTTGTTGTTGTTGTTGTTGTTGTTGTTGTTTGCCGTCGAGTCAGCCCCGACTCATAGCGACCCCTCCTTGGGTTTCCGAGGCAGTATCACTACGGAAGTAGGATTGCCCAACCTTCCTTCCGAGGAGTGGCTGGTGGGTCTAAACCAAAAAAACCAAACTCATTGCCATGGAGTCGGATCAGACTCATAGCGATTCTTCCTTGGGTTTCTGAGACAGTATCACTACGGAAATAGCTTTAAAATGTGTAAGTAGTGGTCTGTGCAATGATCCACATAGAGAAAAAAGATCAGAGTTCCATGCTGGCAAAGATATACACCTTTCTCTCCCTTTCAATCTCAGTAGCATCTTCTTACCTACAACACTTGCAGCAAAAGTGTGGAAATACTTTTACAAGCTCCAACCATTTCTTGCTCTTTGCTTTATCAAAACTTGCATTTGATACTTCTACTTCTCTTTTGATTAAAACTGATCAAGCCAATATATTACTTTTACAAATATTGAAGTTATACATTTCTGTACATCGTTCTTTAATTAAATGTATAAATAATATTATAGTAATAGCATTAAATATATAACATTTTATATATATAGTATTTACATATTTTACATAATATAATATATAGTGGTATTATACCTGTGTTAAATATATACATAATATGTGTGTCTATAAAAGAAATTGCGAACAATACCCTGAGAACTGGGTAACTTTTCCTTCATTCTCAGCATCATATGCTTCAGAAATTAACTCTAAATTTCAACCTGTTTCAGGTAAGGCACAGATTAGAGCACTGATTTTAAACCTACACATAGTTTCCTGTCTTGACTCACTAAGTTATTACCTGTGTGACTGTGAGCAAGTCAATAAGGTGTTTTTAGTGCAATGAAACAAGTGAGCATACGCTATGAGAGTACACAAAAACAAGGTCACAAATTCTGAGAGGATTGGGGTCATTTACAAACATTTATATGAGCAGCTATTCATCTATGAAATAAGGAAGATAATGATTTTACTAATTGACAAACATATGGTACGTTAACTTCATTGTAAGGGTTATTAATTACAAAAGGAAACTCTCTATATGTTTTGCTAAGTATTCACAAATTGTTGGTCATGCAGCATGCCTAACCATCGTTGTCAAAATTTAGAGAGAACATTAGGAAACAATGTACTATTTAATTTGATCTGGGTAAAGCCCAGTGCATTTTTTAAGACTACATTGGAAAAGAAGATTTATTATTTAACTTGGTTTCTAGGTATGTGTCTTCCTGAATTCTCAAGATTTAGAATTCCAGATGACCATGCAATTTCAGACCTATCCATGTACAATTACATAGAGGTGAGTGAGAAGGTATGGCTCCATTACTTGAGATCATTCATATTCTAACAAATGTTCTTTCCTTTAGTTTTTCTTTCTTCCAGCCCTGTCTCGTGCATGCTGAATAAGAATCAGGACAGCCAAGAGTACACAGACACAGACACACACGCACACAGAGCATTCCTTAGACATGGATGGATTGTGGATATATGGCCAGTAACAATGACCTACACACAGAACCAAGATGACGAAATGTCTTTGGCTTCAATTTCTGATAATTTACAGGCTCATAGCTGACATTTAATAGAGTTAGTAATAAGCTATTTTAAAGAAAATGCATCTCTGAAGTGTATTAATATATCTGAGAAATCGGAAAAATGTTAAATGATCTTTCCATTGCTAATGTTATAAGCTGCATACTGACAGTGGCATTAAATACCTACTATTGTCTTAATTACTGGAAAAAAAAACTAAGATCCAAGAAATTCATGGTCAGAAAGGTTAATACTTTGAAGAAAAAACACTGAGTCCATTTTGCATCAGGCACATAAATGGGTCATGATACATGAGTGTGGTTGTCATTTTAAAAGAATTGAGTGAAAAAGTTTACAAAGTAAATTTAAGGAAGAATGTGATTCTTTGCTGGAAACCAAAGATAAAAAGTGGACTTCAGCTTGAGCAGAATTGTATCCTACGCGGTGAGGGAAGTTCTACCATATGACAATGAACGTTTTTATTGATGTATTCTGCCTGTGTCTTTAAAAACAGAAAAGTTACAATGCAATCTTTGTCCTGAATATAAAGTAAATAAAGACAGACAGAGCTCTAAGCAGATATCTTGCTGCCGTAAATAATGTCCAAAACCAACCAGGAAACCACAGAAATTTCTCAAATCTTTGGACTCACATTATCTGAAGGTCTGACTGAATGAACCCTCTGCTGGAAGAGTTCCCATATTAATCTTTCAGCAAAATAACCTTCCCAACAGGTTTTGTGTGAATGTACATTTTTAAGGCTATGTTGTGTCCTATGCATGTCTACTAAAGGGGATTGGGAATGAGTATTATGTAAATAAGAAGGTTGTTGAATGATCTGTGTCCAGCACTGTGATCAATAGGAATGAAAAGTAGTAAGTTGTAGCAAAAGAAGGAAAAAAAGGTACTTTGTTTGATATATCCTTAAGACTCTCTCCTACATTATTACAGATGCGAGCACACGTCAATTCAAGGTGGTTCATCTTCCAAAAGAACTTAGAGAGATGTCTTCATGCTATTATGCCATCTACTTTTATTCCTCTCTATACAATGGTAAGAGGAGTTCTTGTGGCACAGTGGTTAAGGCATTTTGCTGCTAACCAAAAGATCAGAACTTTAAATCCACCAGCCACTTTGTAAGAGAAAGATGGAGCAGTCTGCTTCCATAAAGATTCACAGCTTTGGAAACCCTATGGAGCAGTTCTACTCTGTCCTGTGGGGTTGCGGTGAGTTAGAATCAACTGGATTACAATGGGTTGGGTTTTTTTGATACAATGGTAAGGCCTGGCTTTAAAACTTTTCCTTGTTTTAATCCTCTACTTTAAAAAATACATAATTTAGACATTAAAAAAAATAACAAAAAATACTTTTTAAACTTCCCTACAGGTCACATTTTCCAGAATAAGATACCATGAAGCAGTACTGAGGTGGCATTGGCAAAAAAAGGTTGGAACATATTTCACTTTTCCTTTTTTAATCTGATTTACTGGAGTGTCATAAGTATTATGGTTATGTTGATTTTAAGCAAATACACAAGTGATATGACACACACTAGATATTAGCCTTACAAATAAAAAAATACCTGAGGTATACATAAAGCAGAATGCCCAACAAAAAACTTAAAAAGATATAAAAAAGGTAGGAAAAGAATTTCAGAAAAGAAACTGATGTTAATATCTCTGAATGTTTGACTTTATATAGGCAATGTGAATCATTACTGACTTTTGCTTCATACAACATTTTTATGGGTTCAATTTGTAAAATTGGAAAGAATTGAATCATTTAGAAAATGGAGTCAAATTCCAGTGTAATGCTATGCCACCTTCATTTTAGGCAGCTGACCTAGAGATGACATGTGATAAACATTCAGACTCCATATTTTCCACTTTGGGAATTTTACAAATTCATTCATTCAACAAATAGTTTTATTTAGTGTATAGACAATGAGCTAGGCATGGTGATGAATAAGACCCAATTCCTACCATTCACATAACTCAGGGACTGACTAGTAAGAGAGACAGACAACTGCAGCAGAGGGGATAAATGACCCTCAAAGGACAATGAGAGCGGGTAAGCCCCAGGCAGAAGCTGAAGGAACACCAGCAACACAGTCATTGTGGGTACTGCATGTGCTTCAGTGGCCATGGCCCGCAGCAGCTGTGTGAGACGGGAGAGTAAGGTAAGCAGGGCCTCACAAGTCCTGAATGTTACCTTGCAAGAAGGAGAGATTGAAGGAGGAAAGTAATAGACACAGGCTTGGATACTACAAAGATGACTTTGCTGTATGAAGAATGAATTGGAAAGAGTCAAGATTTATTTATATAGATAGGAATGCAATAGGTTGTCTGTCCTCTGGCAAATAGAATGTGGGGCAGTAAATGCAGTGATAGAAATGGCTCAGGATGATTTGGAACACACCTAACCTAGACTACAGCTGGCCTCATGGGCACTGTGCAGATGATTCCCTGCAGTTGGTAAAGTCATAGTGTTTAAACTCATTTGGGAGACATTGTGGCTGACTGTGAGAAGTGACTGAATCGTTTGTGGTGTTTGGATAGTGGTACTCTCCGGAGACAGAGGTCACAACTTTGACTAACCTGTTTTTTCTTTTTTTTTTTTCTTTCCTCTAAATGACTATACAAAAGCTGAGTGCTAAGAATTCCTTATACAGAACACAGATTTTAGGTTTTCTTGAGAAACAGAGAGGAGGAGGGCTCCAAATATGTCCTTATCAGCCATTCCAGGACTTTAATTCCTGGTCATGGAATGGAATGTCTTTTGCAGGTTAAAAGCAAACAGGCAATCGTATAATCCTTAATAATTTAAGAATTAAGTCTATTTCAAGATTTTAATCTCAACATTTGAAATGAGAGTTCTTACTGTCTTTACAGGTAATAAACAAAGGACTTTTTTTCTTCGGAACACTGATAGCCATCAGTAGTGCCTATTTACTTATACATTATATGTCACCTCAACCTATGGACTACTTGAGAAGACGATGGAACTGGATTGCTTACTTCTGGAATACAGGGCATGTTTCACTGCAAATTCCATGGAGTCATTAGAACAAATTCCCAATTCTACTAGCAGATGATATGAAGGCTTTGAGGTAGCAAATGCTTGATTTCTCTGTAACCATGATTAAAAATGTGTTTCCATCATTGTATTTAATACACTAATAGAAAATTAAGTTAAAGATTAATTAGTTAATTACAGATTGCATTTAAATTCAATTTAGTTTCTATGTTGACTTGCAACCATTGGGGGAAAAGTATTACCCCTTTTTAAAAATTATAACACACAGCTTCACCACAACATTACTCTCAGGCCAGGGCCTTTCTAAATATAAAAGCTAATAACTGAGATCTCCTTCACTTCTGAAAAAAAACGGAATCCCCAAGAAGTCTCAAGGAAGGCATTGATTAGTACTTTTTCTTTAAAGGGCACAGTAAAAGTCATAATAGGATTGCCTCACTCCCTGGGACATTGCATCTTGTCTAACATGCCAACTGTACCTCCCATCACCTGGGTGGAATTTTGATCTAACCACATTGCTCAAATTCACTTGAAGAAACCTAAAGTACAAATGGGAACTTTTGGGGAGTTTCAGAGAGTTACAAAATGCATCTGTTTCCCAGTCTTCAAATTCCAGTATTATCTTCAGAAGATAAAAAGTCTGCTAAGGGAAGGATAGGAAAGGGTTTTATTTGTAAATCATATCTCTACATATACAAGGAAATAAGGAAAGACAGTATTCTCAGAAATATGAAGTAGTATTTTATTACATTTCAGACCTTGTATTTAACTACATGCTGCAGCAGAAAAAGCAATAAACTTCATTATTAAAAGCACATTTAGTGCAAAAAAGAAATTTTCTTTGGTTCTTCTTTCTTCAATAGGCCAAACTAGACATTTAGAAATCCTACAATAATGATTGATAATGAAGATGCAATACTAATAAGGCAGTCATCTAAGAAACAAAAAAATAGGCAAAAAATAAATAAATAAAATTATTGTATGTCTTTCACATATTGTTAAACAACTTGTGTTCTAATAATCTATGTTTAGTCTAAACAATGATCCATGGAAAATGGTTTCTGTAATAACACTGACCATTAATTATCCAGTGGATTGACTGATGAATAATAAAGATGAAAACACTTCCTTAATATAGCTGTATACTTATTTTCATGAGCCCCCAAATACAGATTGTTTGTTTGTCACTTAGAATTCCTACTCTAATATTCAGATTCTGTGTCCTTGGCAAAATGTGGGAAATTGTTAAAAGGAGAGGTTAATATTACCATGCTAATGTTTGAAATAAAATAAATGGAGATACCTGCCATCAACAGTACATCCTCTGCTAATGTATAATTAACTATATTCCATGATTATCTTGAAGTTTGTGATCTTATTTTCTTTACTATGATGTTTCTTAGTATCCTCCAGAGCTTGCTCTGCAACATGTTAGTCTAAAGTTCCTCTTTACCATACTATACATACAGAAATAGTCCTTTGTTTCATATAGTTATGGGATTGATTTTCTTTTTCTGGAAATAATCAATTTGATATAGTCAAGTGTATGCCATAACATTGAATAGGACCCAACTTTACAGAAAAATATCAAGATTATCTAGATATTTTGCATATTTGTATAAAACAAAGATACTTTTACAGCTGAGATTTTTGAGAAAAATGTATTATGTGCTTTGGAAAATAGAATCATTAAAAAATACATTTGAAATAAAAGTTCCAACATGCCAGATGATGGTTCCAGAGGCCCGTCCTGTGCTGCAAATAATTTTTTTCATTATATAAAGCACCCATGGAAATAAACGAAAGTTTGTCCTGTTCAACTTCTTTCTCAGGCCAGAGACCATATGAGTAATTCAGCTTTCCCACTGGGCCACAAAAGTTCTGTTGATATCACATAGAATGGAGATTCCAAAACAGTTCTTATAATGAAAGTCTAAAAGTGGTGTCTGATTTAAGGCCCATTTTTCATTGTTGTTGTTGTTGTTAAGTGCCGTCGAGTCGTTTCCGACTCATAGCGACCCCATGCACAGCAGAACGAAACACTGCCCGATCCCGCACCAGCCCCACAATCCCTGCTATACTCGAGCCCATCATCGCAGCCACTGTATCAATCCATCTCGTTGAAGGCCTCCCCCTCTTTCGTCGACCCTCCACCCTACCAAGCATGACATCCTTCTCCAGGGAATGGTCCCTTCTTACAACATGACCAAAATAGGTGAGACGAAGTCTGGCCATTCTTGCTTCCAAGGAGCATTCTGGCTGCACTTCCTCCAGGACAGATCTGTTAGTTCTTTTAGCAGTCCATGGTACTTTCAGCATTCTTCGCCAGCACCACAACTCAAAAGCATCAACTCTTCTTCGGTCTTTTCCATTTTTCATTAGCATTACTTAATCCTATAAAGGGCGAACTTGGATTACATCTGTTTTGGACCCATTTGTTTTGTCAATGTCATTGACAGATAGCGACTCATCACTGGTAATAACAAAAATGATGGAAGAAGAGTTAAAAGTCACCTTCTTCTTTGGCCTGTCCCTGTCTTTCTGTGACATCACAATGGGTCTGATCTGCATTTCACTCCCAACTACTGGTATGTCTTTAGCAGGCCGTTGGCATCTCAGCAGTCGGAAACATAGCAGCTGCAAAAGGGATCTTCGAAACTGGGCAGACAAAATCAAGTTGAATATTAAGTAAAGTTTGGTCTTTAGTCTGGATTAACATTCAAGTTTAGCAATGGACTTGTCCTTTGTTTCTGCAGATGTGCTTGGAGCTTAGGTGTCAACGCTTCAATCTATCTAAGTAAACCTGGGATTTGTTTTATGCCTTGCATGTGTTATAATTCTTATTAGCTAGATCACGTAGGTCTATTTTATTGATTGATTGATTGTGATTTGACTGAACGTTTACAGAGCAAATTGGTTTTCTACTCAACAATCTTACACATTCTGTTTTGTGATATTTACTGCAAACCCTACATTGTAACAGCATTTTCTCACTTCTTCCCTGTACCCAGGAGCTCTAGTAGCATAGTCCCTAAGACACTTGACTACTAACCAGAAGGCTGGCGGTTCAAACCCACCAGCCCCTCCTTGGAAGGAAGGTTGGGCAATCTACTCCCGTGGTGATACTACCTCAGAAACCCAAGGAGGGGTCGCTATGAGTCGGGTCTGACTTGATGGCACATAACAACAACGCCCTGCGCCCATTCCTTACCTTCATTCTTCCTTCTCATTCCCTTCTGCTATCCTGGTTCTATCCTTGGGCAAATGCTGTTCTCTTGATTTCACATGCTTGACTGTTTTAATGAGGGCATACTCTCCTGATATTCTGCTCACCTTATAGGCCTGTCTATCGTTTGGCAGACAATTGAGTCAGGGGGCTTCAATTCAGTTCCTAGCTTGAAGTGTGTCTAAGGGTCATAGTCTTGGGTTTTCCACTAGTCTTTATCAGAACAGTAGCCTAATCTATTTTTTTATGATTTTAGTACTTAGGCCTATTTTAATACCTTATCATCTTCATAAATTCGAGTTACAGGCATCTTCTATGAGGGTGTTGTTTCGTTGTTATTTGCCATCGTGTCAGCCCTGACTCATAGCGACCCCTCCTTGGGTTTCCGAGGCAGTATCACTACGGAAGTAGGAATGCCCAACCTTCCTTCCGAGGAATGGCTGGTGGGTTTGAACCACCAGCCTTCTGGTTAGCAGTCAAGTGCCTTAGGCACTATGCTACCAGAGCTCCTTCTATGAGGGTAGATAGATCTATTTCTTTAGGGGGTTGGAAAATGAATTCCACAAATATTCAGTGAGCACCTACTAGGTGACAACCACTGTGCTAGGATCTGGGGAAATGGTAAATAGCAAAGACAGGGATCTCTCAGCAGAGTTCAGAGTCAGGTGTACTCACTAATGCTGTTCCTTTAATTAGCTAAAGACTTTTTTTTTTTTTTTTTCCTATCAAGATTACTAATCAGTTGGGGAAACCTTCTACAGCAGGAAGTGCTAGTGTTCACCACTAGCTATGATTTTCCTCTTTGTTCTTGGCATGAAATTGAACCATATCTCTTAGCCCTCTTTCAGGGGCTTCTTCCTGTTCTTCTCCTTCTACAAGGACTTTGGAGGTCAAGGTCTGACATAGTACATCACAAAATAGAAAAACTCTCAATTCTTAAATGACAGAAGGGAACGACTCCCACCATTTCCACCATATACTTAGGACTGTGGGCTCTGGTCTCAGTGATCAATAAACTCTCACTGTACTAATTCACTGAAATGTTGGGATTGTTTGTTACCATAATCAGTCTATGTTGATATTTGCCGTGGAGTCGGATCCGAGTCATAGTGACCCCTCCTTGTGTTTCAGAGGTGTTATCACTATGGAAGGCGCTCTGGTAGCATAGTGCCTAAGGCACTTGGCTCCTAACCAGAAGGCTGGCGGTTCAAACCCACCAGCCACTCCTGGGAAGGAAGATGCGGCAATCTACTTCCGTAGTGATACTGCCTCAGGAACTCAAGGAGAGGTTGCTATGAGTCAGGTCCGACTCTACGGCACATAACAACAACAAAAACATTACTGCCGAAGTAGATTGCCCAACCTTCTTTCCGAGGAGTGGCTGGTGGGTTTGAACAGCCAGCCTTCTGGTTAGCAGTCAAGTGCCTTAGGCACTATGCTACCAGAGCTCCTTAATTAGTCTATTATAACCAATAAAACACATAAGTAAAAAGTTATTTAAATGTTTATCCTCTTTGCTTAGAGCAAAATCAAAGTTTAACACTTTCATATTTAATAGTTTCATAATACTTTAAAATATTTTTAAAGTTTTCCCAGATCAGGAAAAATCAATGAAAAATGCAATAAATAGTTATATTAATTTTTGTCTTCTTGAACCTCATTTATATTCAAGTTAGCACTGAGTTCATACTCACATTAAAAAAAAAAAAAGTTTATTTGTGTAATCTTTATTTATTCACCAAGCTGTTGCTTGGTGTGTCAGGTTAAGTGTTTACAGATACGTTTTATTAAATGAAGATGTAT